GGCGAACATCTTCAATTTGGATAAATAACATTGTTGCCGTAGAATCAACCGACCGCGGAGCACCTTCAGTTTGGATAAACAGCACTGCGTCGAGGCCGACTGGTTATCTATCCAAGTCTCGGTCGAAAAAGATTTTCAAATCCTTATTGGCAGACGTCATCTCATTAGCTTTTTCGGTGAAGTGAGGTGTTACAAGTTATTACATTCGGCACATTGAAAGCCGAATTTGATATTGAACTTCGCAGAACTAGCAGCCTTGTCTTCAGGCTCTAGAACCCGATGGCCGAGAGTGTTCATTCCTCGGACACAGTCGCGAGATTCAGAAGTCAGCAGCGCACCCAACGCAACATCAACAAATTTTACTCCTCGGCTAACGAGTTAGCTCATTAGTTACTCTGCCTGCGCGCCATGTAAGCTTGGTAGTTTTTAGAGTCAACATTTTGGCACGCCTAGTGGGACCAAGTGCTAAAACTACGAAGTTCACATGATATATCTCGATCAGGCTTCCTGGGATGAGTTGCATCGCCTATTAAAGGAGCAAAAACAATGCTTCGAGAGATGGGGTAGATTTTCTAAAAGGCAAGAGGCCCAGGGGCAAATTTTCGCTCCGCCCACAATCAAAATTCAGCCTCAGAACATTGTCGAGACGGCCGAAGAACTTAGGCCACTTGTTGTTTCGATCGAGACTAAAAGTATGGTAGGCCTAGAAGAAAAAATTCAAGTTTCTGAGCCACAAATTGACTTAGACAATGATTCGTCAGAAAACTGTTCCAATGACGAACAAGACCAATTCATGGTTTCAGCTGAACAAACCACGCCAATCGATATGATTATTGATGATACAGTTGATATGGAGAAATCTCGTTAGGCTAAGTTGTTCGAGTTGAAAGCCGAAATTGGCGAAGTAATTATGCTTGGGGGGCATAATAATTGTTTAACCACACATTCAGCGGCCGAAAATGAAAAATATTTAACCAAGGTAGAAATATTTGGAGAAAATTCTTTATTCGGCCTAGAGCGAAATCAATTTGAGAATTTTGTTATTAGAAGATCTCGGCTTGGAATAAAGCATCGTTGGCCTCCTCCTGACTATGGTTCAACCACTTTTCTTTTCATTTGTTAAATATATATGTTATTTTCTTAAACATATGGCTATGCAAGCCGATGTAAAGAAAATGAAGGGCAGACATTATAGGCTAAGTCTCAATAAGCTTCTCCAATGAAGGCCTGATGCTTGGTGCAATACTGGCCTGATGCTTGGTGCAGTACTAGCCTGATGCCGTGCAGTGTACAATTTGTTTGAAATTTAAAGCCAACATCATTATGGCCCGATGCCGTGTGTGCATGTGTGTGTGTGTCTATATATATATCCTAAATGGTGGCCTGATGTCGTGTGTGTATGTATAGATCCTAAATGGTAGGCCATTGTTTAGTGGTCATCCAACTTTATGATTTCCATTGTTGCTGCATCCTTTCTTGGGGCAGGTAAGCAGAGAGATTTGATGTGACTGAAATACGGTGATATTATCAGAATCCATTCGGTGGAATAGTCTTGGCAAAATAAATAAATAAAAATTGTAGTGATGTGTTTGTCGAGCTCAACGGGGTTCACTTTGTTTCTGCTTACCTTCATTCTAAGCTTCTCAACCTCGGCTCAGTGTGTATATAAATATATATATATATGCAGGCCGAGCTGCCAAGAAAAATTCTTCTCGACCTCGGTGTAGTTTTTCTCAGCCTAAGCCCGCTTTACCCTCGACCCCAATTTTTTTTTCTACTCCTTCCCAAGTTCTTCTCGAACTTCTGACAAAGTTGCCGAGCCTGGTATGGAGTTGTGGCAGTCGAGGAAGGTCGCAGCGTTGGCAGAACATACATGTTATTACCGAGGAACAAAGTTTCTTTTTCGGCGATTCGACGGGATTTTGTTGGTTACAAACAATTAATTTCCTTAACCATTCGGCTTATGAGCCGAAACTTAAGGAAACTGGGGGCAATGTTTGGACCCGATTTTATACCATCGGCCTAAGCGATCGAGGTTGTTGAGTGAGCATGGTTCTTAATATTAAGAGATAATATTATGGTTTTTAATCATAATAATTATCTTTTAATAAATTATCTCAATTTTCTTGTACAAAATAAATGGGATACAAATCATAACCTCAACGTAGAGGCAAGCAGAACAGTCTGAGTTAATGTGGATTTTTTAGCAGTGTACTATGTGAATTAGAGCAGCTTGGCTTGGACTCTTCACGTGGCATAACAGGGATCTGCAAGTTTTGGATAATGGTGAATAGAAAACCTAAGTAGGTTAGGTTGTTTGATGGATGTTGTCAGACGGATTGGCTTTTGGATGGGTGATGGGTTAGGTTTTTATTAGCTTTGAAAAGTCAACCATTTGAAGATAGGCTTTAAGCCTATGCCATAGACCAATTTGAGTTTTAGTCGGTTTTTGCTTATTATCCAGGCCGTGCCAATTAGAAAATATGGTCCTATAAATACAGAGGCAATGACAACTCATGAAGGGCCGCCAACTCAACATACAAACTGCTATGCGCAAACCCTCGCTCTACGCGAAACCTCTCAAACATCTTGAGATTTTTTATTTTCTTTTTCGCCAACACATCTTCAGTAACAGCACTGTGAAGTCAACCGGCAAATATTTTCAGTTTGGATAAACAACACTGTTGCCGTAGAATCAACCTACCGCGGAGCACCTTCAGTTTGGATAAACAGCACTGTATCGAGGCTGACTGGTTATCTATCCAAGTCTTGGTCAAGAAGGATTTTCGAATCCTTATTGGCAAAGGTCATCTCATTAGCCTTTTCGGCGAAGTGAGGTGTTATAAGTTATTACATTCGGCACATTAAAAGTTGAATTTGATATTAAATTTTGCAGAACTAGTAGCCTTGTCTTCAAGTCGAAGGCCGAGAGTGTTTCTTCCTCGGTCGCAGTCGCGAGATTCAGAAGTCAACAACGCACCCAACGCAACATCAACAAATTTTACTCCTCGGCCGACGAGTTAGCACGCCCGCATACAACCGAAGGACATAGTTAACTCATTAGTTATTCGGTCTGCGCGCCACGTAGGCTTGGTAGTTTTTAAAATCAACAATACTGTATTTGGGCATCACGTGCAAAAAAGGGCATCCATTCACATCGATAGAGTCGAGCATTTATATGCATATTTTGTGTATTCAAAAATGGCAGCTCCGCACAGGGAACTGAGGGAAGAAAGGGCCCGTTCGGAGTACTCTGAACTCAGTGATTGATTTTGAGTTTTGATCACGTGGGTAAAATAAGAGTCTTCATATCTGTGGTCAGTAGTCTAGAGCTGAGACGGCTCTCTTGACCATAATATGGATACTGCATGTTGGACTAGAAAGTAGTACTAAATTATAATTATTTGGATTGAGAAATGATAGATGTTAATAGAATGTTCGATTATGCATGGGTGCACCATGCACCTATATAAGAAGAATAGGACTTAAATGAGAAATTTTTTAATTTTCTCTGAGCTTCTGTTTCTTCCACCATAGCTTCCGCAACTCTGTTATGATTCATCTGTCATTTCTCACGTCTCACGCAAAGACTTCTTCTAGACTAAATACATGTACTCCCTCATTTTACATTTATAGATCTGAAAAATGACTTAACCCTTTTCACACTGCTCACTATCTCGATTTTAGTCGCATGCTAAGTATTGGCACTGTTCTAAAACTCAGCCTAAACAGCCGCCTGGTTACTTAACCCTTTTCACACTAATCTCTAGCTTGATTTTAGTCACGCACTAAATATTTTATATATACTAAAACCCGGTGAAAAAACACTGTTCATCAACAGTGCACGGGCTGAGATGCCCTTTGCTTCCTTTGTGTTCTGATTTTTTCTGACCATTTTACCCTTTTACTAACAGTGCACGGGCGGTGCTGTATTGCTTTGGGTCTCTTTCTCTTCTCATTTTTTCATTGCTTTTCTTTACCCACGTGTCCACCATTCCCTTGCCACGTGTATCCTGGAATGGTACGCCTTGGATCTCTGGAATTTTCTTTCGGTTTCCATTTCCTTCGTTCTATTATACTTGTTAGCACTATTCGCAAATAGTCTTTTACCACATTGATGGAATGGTGTTGAGTCTTTACATGATGATGTGGGTTCAAACCTCGTCGATAGCTAATCTAACAAAATTTATTGCTTGACAAAAAAAAAAAATATTGGCACTAGTCTAAAAATCGGTCTAGGCGGCGGAAGACTGATGCGATTTAGGTCATAACGTAGAGGAAAATCGGGTAAGGGCTAGGCGCCCATTGTTTTAAAAAAAAAAAATTAAGTTAAAGGGTTTTCTGGGTAACCTACACAAAAACCCATAGTATTTCTCTAGTTGTTTTGTGTTTCTCATCCCCTTGTCTCTCTACACAGAAGCGTTCTCTCTCTCCTCACAAACGGGTGTGATGATGCCATGATGACTTAAGTTTTAACTTTTCCAAATTCTCAATGTAAATATATATATATATATATATATATATAGTGTATGTGGGTACCTATTTATATATTATATGATAAATTGGACTAAATCCATATAATCTGCCTAGTTCACCTAGTCTCTCCCTTACTCGCCTAGTTACCTTGGCACTAAATCTCAGCCTGCCAACCGACTGCTTAACGTCTTTTAAAACGTTACGTACTGAAATTTTGCATTTCCACTATAATAGTCTAATTGAGGAAGTCAAGAAGGCTAAAATATGCTTATTTTATATCTGGTTGCACGAAAAAGGCTTTAAATGTAAACGTATACAAGTAGACATTATTCCAACGCTCCAAGCCGCCTCAAGATCTCAAGTGGCATTAAACATATAAACAATAATATGTCGGGGAAAAAAATCCACATGACAGTAATAAAGTGTCACCTCTTATTGACTTAATTTCATCAATCTATTCAACGAATAAAGAAGACGAAACTTCCTCCAATTTGGGTTTATAAGAGAATAATTTATGTCTATAATCTATATAAATGCATGCAGCATCATTCCCTCATATTGTAACTTGATAGCTCTTTCTGCTACTTTGCTAAAATCCGATTCAGTTTAAGAGCACACATCAAATTTCCTGCTGCATCAACCATATATCATGAAGTTCTTGCTTCCTTGCTCAAAGTGTTTCTCTTCACCTGGAATCATCGATGATAATAGCACACACGGTAAATAGAAATTTAAAATAGAATTTCTGCTTTCTGTAGAACCGCGCTCTCATTTTATGGATATCTTTTGCTACCTATCATACTTCGTTTTTATTTTTCCTCATTGGTTGATAATAAAAAAATTGATTTTTACACACTCATTTTCTTCTCATGTGCACCCGTGTTGATTTTTGGGCTTTGGATTGAATGATGTATAAAAATATTAAGGGAAGAATTAAACAAATGTGAGCAAAAAAAGAATTTAAACAAATGTGTGCAGAAGAAGAAAATGAGTGTGTATAAATTATTTTCCGCTCATAAAACATGAGAATACGGAAGCCTGTTTGTTGAAGCACATCATAGTTCAATTTGCCCTTTCATTTTTCACTTTTGGGTTTCTTTGTAACCAGCATTGATGATGTGAATTGTATTGCATATGCTAATGAGATATTAACCTGTCCCACTTTATCTAATTTATACTCTACGTTAATTAGTATTTTGATAGAAGCGTGGATCGTTCTTGGCTATCTACTTACTAAAACAGGTGTACAATTTCTTCAAAATGTCCGCAACTTCAAATACAAAGAATTGAAAGTCGCCACCAACGATTTCCATCCATCCAACAAAATTGGTGAAGGCGGATTTGGTTCTGTTTTTAAGGTAATTTCTGCGTATACGTTGATTTTTTTTACTGTTGGAGTACTAAGAAAAGGCTGCTTGCATTCTGAATTTTTATTAATTTTCAAGTGCTTATAATTAATTTTGGCTAAATAGTAAGAACTCCTGTGGTTGAATTACTGTAAAAGGGAAAACTTAATGACGGAGTGGCCGTGGCCGTGAAAGTTCTTTCAGCTGAATCAAAGCAAGGAGATAGGGAGTTCATGTCTGAGCTAGCTTCACTCTCCAGTATTCGCCATCAAAATCTGGTCAAGATGCGCGGTGGTTGTGTGGAAGGCCGCCGTAGAATTCTTGTTTATGATTACATGGAGCACAATAGCCTCGCTCACATCTTGCTAGGTAAACACATAAATTAACCTAGCTCCTTATTAGTTTTCATGCATGATGACCTTCCTTATTTTCACCTTATATATAAGAGTAGTTCCACCGTTGGAAACCCTCCTCCAGGCTATTAACTATGCTATCCACCCAGTGAACAGTAATTGCATTCAATGAACAGTAATCGCTTTTTGCATCTCCACCCCTATACTGAATAGCCCTGTCAATTGGTAATAAAATATTACTATTTTTTCCTCACCCATCCCCATCACCCTTCCCCGTTTTCCCCTCATTTGACCGATTCTTCCTCTCTCTCCCTCTCTGTCTCTTTGTCTCTCTCTTTTCTTTCTATCTCCCTCATCCTTTTTCTTTCTTTCTCTCCCTCCTTTCCAGCTCACTCTTGTGAGCTCTCTTCCTTCTTCGTCTTCAAACCTTCCAAATCAAGCTCAAAAATAATATTTCTGGAATCCCTGGAACTCAAGGAACCCAACCATGGCCTTGCATGTGGCATCAGTGCATGGTGCTAGGTCCTACCATTGAAGCCGAGAGCTTGAGCTCTCAATCCGTTTACCTCTCTGTCCTTCATTCTCTCTCCTCGTCCTCCTTTTTTGTCTCTCCTGTTTGTTGCTCCATCTCCCACCAGATCCACCGCACGGGTGGTCAGAATGTTGCAGGCCTTTGAATCAGAGTCGGTGTCGTCGATTTTAGTTGGAGAGAGAGTGATTGTTTGAGACAAAATAGAGGAGGATGGGAAGCAAACGGAGACAAAGAAAGAGGAGATGAAGGGACGCCAACGTCGGTGAGAAGATCGGAAAGGGTGGCGTCAATGCCGATGGGTGCCTTAATAATGTGGCTTCTGTCACCCTGACGTCAGCCCACGTCAGATAGCCTTCGGGCGCTCGGGCCGGCACGAATCCACGGGCCTGGAGCTCGGGCCTGCTCGGGCTCGCTCGCCAGCCAACGTTGGACTTCCTCCCTCCGGCAATCAAGCCCTGTTTTGCAGCCTGTCCCTCTAGCAGTTGCTCCCGCTGGAGCTGCTCTAATAGCAGTAAACATTATGTTAAAAATCAAAGGACGAGAAAATAACAAAAAAGCGGATTGAAACTATGATTCTTATTTCATTTACACAAAAGGAAAAAGAAGATTATATAAATTGTTAAACAAGGTTACATAACAAAAAATAACTAATTAAATTTTTGCAAAACATAATTCTTTTTTTTTCTCTTCTGAAAATTAACATTCATTAATCCGAAAAGAGGTTATAGGTCAACTCAAAGAAAGACAAAATAACCCAGATGACACTTAGATACACAAAAGCCTAGCCCAATAAACAAATAAACAAAAACTAAAACCCTAATTCCTATCCTCCAAGTGCAGAAAGCAACGCCTGCCTCCGAGTTGTCGCCACTGCTGATGTCGTCACCGCCACTGCTGATGTCGTCACCGCCACAAAAGTTTTGCTAGCAGACACCATGACAACAACACTAAAGGAAACGATCGAGTGGTCAATTCGACCAAGACATAGCAGCACACAAATAAAAAACTCACAACCAAAAACACATCACAACCAGATTTCATCATCGAAAGCCCTAAACCAAGAGATAGTCACTGGATCCAAATTTCCTTCACCAACCCTTGCAAATATATACAAACACAGTAACACATGAACCAAGGTATGCAAAATACCTTTACTTTGGCTAAAGCCGCAAAACACTAGACCTTGAGGGGATACCAACCCAGTTGGGGGAGGGGAAGTAAGGGATAGAAATGGATCTTGCATTCATTTTCGGTTCAAAGATCGCAGATCGAAGCAAAGAATGGGGTGGGGATAGATTATGAGGAAGGGAGGTAGGGGAAAGGGTGAGGGAAGATGAAGGTTTGGGTTTGGAAAGGCGCGACCAAAAGAGAGGGAGGGAAGGAGGGAGGAGGCATGAAGCCCAAATCTGAGACAAATTCAGAAAAAAAATTGAGACAAAACTCAAAAGAAAATTGAAACAAAAGAGAAGGGAAAGAATGAGAAGGAGGGACGGAGGAGAAAACAAAAGCCAAAAGCTAGGTCGGTGGCTAGGGCTTTTCTTGTGTTTAGAAAACCAGAGAAATGATATTTGTAGTTACTGTTGTGTTTCCTACCAAACATAGTTTTTATTGAGTTACAAGAGATGTATTATATAAAAACCTAATTCTGAACAAATAGGAAACCAGTAATAACCACTAAGAAAGTAATCATATCCTTACCTCACTGGAAAAGCCTAATTAATATATAAATTATCAAACGGCTAACTAAACTTGTCCAACATCCTATCAAACAATATTAAATATATTATGTTATCAGGTTAATAGACTCGTTGGTTCATAAATAATGTGAAATCATATCTAAACGATGGTTCAAATTGTCAACTTCACAACATAGCATGCTAAACATATCCTCCTTTTTTTTTTTTTTTTTTTTTATGAAAGTGCGTATGTATGGATATATAGTACATATGTGATTAATCATCAGTTGATTGTTGATTAGGTGAGGAGAAAATTAGATCGAAATTAGGTTGGAGGGCACGACGAGAAATTTGTCTTGGGATTGCTAGGGGCCTTGTTCACATTCATGAGGAGGTGAAACCACATATTGTGCACAGAGATATCAAAGCCAGCAATATACTTTTGGAGAAGAACTTTCATCCAAGAATTTCAGATTTTGGGTTATCAAAACTATTTCCACAGAACATTTCTCACATTAGTACACGAGTGGCTGGAACATTGTAAGTAGAATATATTGTCCAAGGGCTGAAATGCTAGAACTGGTTTCAATAGAAATTGCATATATGATTTGGTTTGTATTGACAATACTAATGGTGCAAACTTCTTGTTGATGACAAAGAGGTTATTTGGCTCCGGAGTATGCAATCACTGGACATTTAACGCGAAAATCAGACGTATACAGTTTCGGAGTGTTGATTTTGCAAATAGTCAGTGGACGATCGATAGTTGACTTTGATATGGAACTTGGAGAACACTATCTTGTCGAAAAGGTATGATCTTATATATATGATAATTATATACAAATTCTATCAACTATAATGCTAGTGATATGCCACTACAACAAAAATGGCCACTGCGCATGATGAATTATTTGTGCCCTTTGAGGCCAAAAAGCACCAACAATTGTGCTCATAGACCAATAGCAACAATGCAGCAACTAAATTTGTATCTGTGCCCTCTATGGGCGTCACCATTTGCCAAAGGGCACAATATGGTCTTTACTGCCCAAAAAGTTCAGCACAAATAAGGGTTTTCTGTGCCTCTTTTCTGACACCCATGTCAGATGACTTTTTCGTTAGCACAAGTTTGTTATTGTGCCCCATAGGATAAATATATTTAAAAAAAAAATCAAATAGTAATACCATCAATAAGAAATTATTCATACAGATAATGAAAATAATTCCTAATACATTTTTTATTCCATGAAAAACTATTAACTAAATCTAAGAACCTAACAAATACCATTACTCTCGAGTTCCTCGCATGCCAGACAACCCTTAACCACCGCAAACAACCTTCAGCTCCTGCTCCAGCCTCTGAAAATGAACATGAGTAATAAATCTATCGAGTAGTAAAAGCAGCGATGCTGATGCATTGCTATTTTCTTTTCAAAGACTATGTAGCAAAGTTTCGACAGAAACGCCAACCAAAATACATAAATGTTTTTCAATCATTGCCTAAATACACATACCGTAAACTTTAACGATTTCTTATGTAAGAGAGTAGCTAAATAGCAAGTTGTTATACTAGTCCTAATTATAATAGTAGAAAGATATACTCTTCGCATCATAATGCAACAACCAGCCAAATTGAGGAAAAGGTCAAAGAATAAGTAAAAAAACAAATAACCCGGCAAGGACAAGCTAATAAATAAGTTTTATGAAATCTAACCTGCTAATAATCAAGTAGTTTTCAGCTTTTGATAATGTCTTTCGTGCTTCCACTCGGTAGGGAACTATACAACAATATGAAAAATCATTATAATTTATCAATCTATTATAAGTAGGAAGAGAGGAAAGGTAACTTATCAATTCTAATACCAAAAAAAAAAAAAAAAAACATGTAGTTACTCTCCAATGGAATAACCAGACAAGAGGAATCACCAATGGGAAATAATAATGCACTTAGTGTAGCGTATACAGAAAGAATAATCTTTTAATCCAATACAACAGAGGAGAAAACATATGCCCTTAAAAGAATAACATTTACCAGAAGGCGAAAACCTAACCTGTTCTGGGATGGAAAAATCTGAATCTCAGCGTAGTCCCAAGGTGCACTAGCATCAATTTCCCCTCCATTTTCAATGCGCTTAAAACTGGACCCAAGCAGAGCAACCTGTATGGGAAAAGAGGGAAACAAAGTTTAGGTAAAAAAAATTCAGCATTTGAATATACAGATTTACAAAAATTTAGCACTTAAACAAACTAAAAGCCTGCGAATTCAGTGTAGTAGATACACATACATACATACAAACATACATATACATATAAATATAAATTCAAAGATAAAGAAAAACCAAACAATTTACAAGAGCAAAGAAAATGAAAGGATAAAGAATGAAAGACATACCTCTATCATCTGTGGGAGGACTCATATTTGCTTTAGGGGCCTTTCCACCACCTGCTTAAAGATGATTCTTATATAACAACTCCACCGTCTAAAACAACCAACAATGGAAGTAGAAGATTAATAGGGGAAACTACAAGTACTCCTCATAAAAAATACATTTACAAGTGTTCAAGATAAAAAAACAAACAAAATTTCTGAGATTTTCCATAAAGCAGTTCACACAACCAACAAGAGGGGAAACTACCACATATTTCCAGTGATGTTCAAGGACCAAAAAACTTTCAAACATTAAAAACTTAAAAATGCATTACCAGGTTGTTCAGTCCCATAAGACTTTGCACAAGGTTACATGGCTAGTTGGATTCGTTATAGATAAATATTATCATCTTCATTTTGATTCCAGTATTCAAGCACAAAGACTAGAGAAGTTTTTATCCTTTAAGGTTATGTAACAGACCAAAGAAATTGACCAACTGGAATTACCGCTATTGACAGTAACCATGGCAAAAACCTATTGAAACCGACTGACATAACCCTTAGCTTGATGTTAGTAAATAAAAGACCCACTCGGCTAACAGACTACAATATTCATTAGATACACAATCATTATATAGTCATCAAAACAAATATATTCAAATTCAAAACCATTCCCACAATCAGTCGAAAATGACACAAAAAAACAGAGTTAATTAAAATCAATACCTAGAAGTTCCAGATCTGCCATGGAGTCAGGCTACCTCAACATCTTTCAGAACCTGCAAATTCAAAATGTCTTAATCAAATATATAAAAAGAAAAATCAGGTAAGCAAATACAATAGCTTTGAAAGTTAATATCATAATCCCATGTTTGTTGCAGAAGCCCTTTGCAAGGTTTGTGCTTTCTTGTGCTTCTTTGGATAATGACGTAGAGAAGTTCTTGTCGGGGAAATTTTAGTTGGAAGCTAGTTGGAAATTAATAGCATCATATCAAGCAATTTGACTAGAGCATACAAAAGCTAGTTGGAAATAAAATTAACTATAAAGGGAAGATTAGGAGAAAATTTGGAAGAGACTTGAACAAATAAATCATTTGCCACTTCCAGTACCATAGCAATTTGACAACAACATATCAAAGTACTACCAGTGCCAGTTCATTTGCTTTCTAAGGAACCCCCTTCTCTTTCTAGATTGTAAGTTCATCAATACATTATACATACTACTACCAGTACCAATTCATGCTTTATTTCCTAAACTAAATTACTCTACCAGTTCAACTTCCTTAAATAATCATTGCCTACTGTACAAATACGAAAAATCACTCGTTGTACAATCAACCTGAATTGTACAAATGCGTTCATAGTGACAAGTCACAAATATGAACAATCAACGAGAAATATGAACAAATTTGAGCAAAATGGAATAACAGCCTTCCAATTAATTATTGTGCCATGAAAAAGTTGAATAACAGCTTTCCAAAGCCAAATATACCATTGGCTAAGACATTAATTAGTACATATACAACTCAATATTTGTTAATTCATAAAAATAGCCAATCACATTCCAGTATAAATTCGAAGTGATAGCAGGTCACTTTCCATTCGAAGCAAAACTAGGTATGTTTGAATCTGAACCAGATCAAATCCCCTTTTGATTATAACCCAAAAGAGAAAAACGATCATTTCCCTTGTGTTTCAAACGAACCCTAACCCTAACCCTAAAATTAATCACAAATTATTAACTAAATTAACCAATACAAGTTCTAAATTGTTACCATTTTACCTGGAACGAAGTGGAGAGGAAGGAATCGCATTATACAAGCACTAAACTGAAGGGGAACTGGGGATGAGATGAGAGTTGAGGCCGACTGATTTGTAGATTCCGTGTGAAGGAGATGGATTTGCAGAGTCTGTGAGAATGTGTGAACTCGACTGAAGACTTGAGTTGAGACCCACCGATTCGCAGTGTATGAAATTTGAAGGGAAAGGATTTGCAAATTATGTTTCTACGTGAGATGTGAACTCGACTTGAGAATTGAGATGAGAGGTGAGAGAGACAGAGAAAGCGAAATAGAAAATTTTGGGGAAAATACAGAGAGAGCCTAGGGTTAAAGAGAGGCTCGGTTTGATTGGGAAGGGGAGAGCCAGAGAGAGGAGAGGTGGAGGAATTGAGGAGAGGCTGGGTTGAAAGGGGAAACACAAAGAGGCGGAATGAATGAAATGAGGACAGAGTGAGGCGTGAAGATTGAGGAAAATGGTTTCTTATTTTGTTTAAAACATTATTTTAAACAAAGGGCACAAAAAATCTACTTTTACTTTAAATATATTAAATTATAGGACACAATTATATTTATGGTGGCATTGCAAATTAATAAAAAATTTCCATTGCTGACATTAAAGGCACAAAAGTCATGGCTATGTGCCCAATAATGTATTTGTGTCCACTTTTCTTAACATTGCACACAATTCATAGTGCCCATTGTGAAATGAGCACTGTTCCACTTTATTGGTGCTTAAACAAACACAAACACCTCATTTGTGTCTCTAATTTTGTGCCCAAAGGCCATTTTTCTTGTAGTGTGCATGACTTTTTATACTTGGAAATTAATTTTGCAATTTTAAATTCTGTTTGTACCATACTTGACCAATCCCGAAACTACCGAGCACCGGCCAACGCTATACTGTCAAGGACCCAGAAGAGTTCCCCTCCGACCAGGAGGCCAATCACTACTCGACACGTGTCAAGATTAGAAGCCAATCAGAGCGCAGCACGTGTCAACATCAAGAACCAATCATAACATGACACATGTCAATGTGACAAAGCTACAAGTTTTTCTATAAATAGGGGTCATTCCCCCACAATATTGCCTAATGCCATTTTGTGTGAAATCATTCACAAGAACTCACTAAATTGAGAGCTTGATCCTTTGTACTTGTGTAAGCCCTTCACTACTAATAAGAACTCCTCTACTCCGTGGACGTAGCCAATCTGGGTGAACCACGTACATCCTGTGTTTGCTTCTCTGTCTCTATTCATTTACGTACTTATCCTCACTAGTGACCGAAGCAACCAAGCGAAGGTCATAAAACCTGACACTTTCTGTTGTACCAAAGTCTTCGCTGATTTGTGCATCAACATTTGGCGCCGTCTGTGGGAAACGACACTTATCCCTACTCTCTTCAGCTGTGTCAAGCTGGTTTCTATCATTCGTACACTTTCTTTTGATCAGGCATCCCTCTCCAACATGGGAAGCGAAGGAAGCCACAGCACACAGAATGACACCCCCCTTGCACATAGTGCGAAACAACGAAAGAAGGAAGGAAAACGAGTTCTTCTTCAAGCTAAAGTCGATGAGTTGGAAGCTCAGAACAACAAGATAACAATGAGGAATGAGGTCCTCCAGGAGCAATATGAGAAGCTCTTCGAGACACTCCACGAAGCTAGGCAAGCTCAGACACGCGAGCTTGTTGCCCCCGTGGAAGTCAACCATCAACTGGGTGCCCTCCAACATGGAGGGTCACATGCATTCGACATAGATATCCCTGATAGGGAACAGATTACCCCTCGACTTGATAATCAACATGAGGCTTCTCTTAACCCAGTTGCTTCGACCCGAACCATGAGAAGTGGAGGGAGACACCTCTTTGCTGAAGGGGCAGAAGGATCGAAAGCCGTCTTTTCGCGATTGTCGGGATTTCCTGAAGCAACGTCGAGAGAATTCCATCCATATAAGCTCAAAGATTAATGACCCAAGGATTTCTGAGAGACTCGGTCCCCTGCCACGGCCCAAGCCGGCCACCAATTTGGGGAATGGGCAACAAGTCCTAGAGAGACATGAGGGTACAGGGGACTCAGAGGTGTTCCGACAGACATACCCTGGAAGCCAGTACAGCGAGTCCAGGGAAAAATCACATGCCCTTGATCAAACCTTCCTAATTCCAATAGGAGATGGAGATTTACGCAAGAAAGCTCCAGTGACACATAACTCCGCTCAGGACCCCCTTGTCCTACAACTTCTTGAGGAAGTAAACAAGTTGAAGGCTGAACGTCAGGCTGAAATACCTGACTGGAACCAACCCAGGCCTGGCCCTCTTACAAGGAGGATCCTCAATACCCCCCTTCAAGCAAAGACAAAGCAAAAGCTTGGCTTGCAACTTTATACTGGAAAAGAGGACCCGATTGAGCACCTTAACCTCTTTGAGTCCACCATGGCATACCGGATGCACACCGACGAAGAGCGATGTCTTCTCTTCCCCTCCACCCTCTCTAGTGGAGCTCTAAATTGGTATTGTCGTCTTACACCTGAGACGGTAGACTCATTTGAGGAATTGAGGAAAACTATTTGTTTCCCAACACATTTTCCAAACCGATCGCTTGCACTCTGCAGATGGACTTGTACACTATCCGCCAGAAGCCAGACGAGTCATTACGTATGTATGCTGGCCGCTTCAGCCATGAATACTCCCGGTGTGCCGAGGCAGACGACAAGACTGCCCTCAAAGCCTTCACGGCAGGCCTACGTGATTGTTTCTTTAAATACATGATCAATGCCAATACTTGGAAGACTTACTCTGAGGTGATGGCGCAGGCTTATAACCATGCCTCCGCCGAGGCAAAGACATATCAGGAGAAACCCCCTACAACCATCCTTTATCAACAAGTGGGAGGTGGAAGCCAGACTCACCTAAATGAGAAGACCTCGACTTTCCAAACAGCAGTGGCACCTCCCCATGCCTTGCATAATGCTTCGCCGAATCAACAGACATATCAATTTCAAGGCAAGAAGAAGGATTTCCATCCTCACCACTCTCATTTCAGTAAAAAGAGTAAGGGACACTATCCCGATAACCAAGGGTATCGCCACAATAACGCTCGCCCCCAGGCAGTCAATGCAGTGGGTCAAACCCGCGTCAAGATACCCCCTACCCCAAGGTATGAGACATACACGCCCTTGAATGCCACATGCGCGGCCATTTTACCCCAGCATAGCTCACCTGATACCAAAGCCAAAGCCGAGGCACCCAGATTACACGCCCCCGAATAACGCGGGCATGTTTTGTTGCTACCATGAGCATAACAGCCATGATAGCGAGAAATGTATCATCCTCCGTGATCGTATTGAAGCTTTGGCACGAGAAGGAAAAATTGATCAATTCCTCCTTCACCCTCAAAGGGATAACCGTAACCAACGCCAGGTGAATGTCATATATTCCATAAGCGGCGGCACACCCATATCTGAATCTTCCAATAGGGCCATGAAAAACAGTGAACGAATTCTGAGGCCTGGTCACCAAGTGTTTCACGTGGAAGAC